AGCGAAATTTGTTGTCTTCCGATTGAATTCCTACCTCCCGGGAGCAGCAGAAAACGTGTGATATGGAGAACGAGGTCGAAATGCATCACATGCGGGACACATCAAATAGACGCACAGAATCAAATTAATGCATTTTCGGCGTGAAAAAATGTATTCTGTGTGATGCGTTCTAATCGCATCGAAAATTTAATGTCTTCGGATACACATCAAATGGAGGACAGTTTTTTTTTTCACGCCCAAAATGCCCAACAATTTGATGTCCTGAATATTCTGTGCGTACGGCCATCCCGCAATAGAACACCACGGAAGTCTTGCATTATACCCATGGTAAATCCAACGCACGCCCTAAAACCAGCGATGAAGAATCGAGATCAATACGAAATTCAGCTTTTCTGCACATTGCTCTGCCCCAGGTAGCACAGATGGACCGATACAGGCTCAACGTTGGATTAAAATCCCGTGCTACCAGCGGCAGCGGTTTCAGCAGTTCTCCACGGGTGTCTCTCATTTCGCGCCCAAAAGTCCCTATTTTATGGTTTCGCTTTTGGCGTAGCATTCTCTTCTGTCCAGTGTCATCGTGACGCAGCTGAGAAAGAAAAGTTCGTTGTTCCATTTCATAGAGCTTCCAAGCAAACCAAGGATATGTCCTGTGTGTTCTCTTCCCTCTTCGACCCTTCTTTTCTATCGGCACCTTTCTTGCAGGGAAATCCACCTTCGTCAGCTGAGACCGTGAGCTTAAACAAGGATGGATCCGTAATAAGTATTTTTGGTGGAACGTCTATGGAACGCTACCGAAACTGCGCGACGAGAGAAAAGCTAGATTTCTAACTGAAGTTTGAGTGATTGTAGATTCTCATCCTGACGATCTAGGGACTTCAACCTTTCGGGCAAAAAGTTTTAAAATAACTTTTATTGTGGTATAAAGAATTAAAAACCTAGTACATCTGCATTCCATGGCATGAAAGTGCCATTTAGAACGCGTTATTCTTGCTGCGCCACCCAGTATTCTTCAGTGCACTTCCCTCTTTAAAAAAAAAAGTTAAGATTGGGTACTCTGTTGGAATGCAAAATGTTGAGCAGTCTATGTAGAATTTGATTGAGACTTTTCTGGAATATGAGCCTGGATGTTGAGGAGAAGAAGCCTGGTGAACACATTGCCTTCTCCATGAAGCCCGCCGCACACGAGGCGATTTTTGTCGTGCGACCGTCGCTTCACACGATATTGCTCCGTGTGCGGGGGTGCTGCGATGGTCGTGCGATGTAGGCAGACTCTAATTCTGGCATCGACCAATCACATCGCTTGCAGATTCCTCTGTGTGTGCTCCCCGGGGGCACATGACCGTCGCAGATGACGTCATACGACAAAAATTGCTACGTGTGCTGGGTCTCGTCTGCGACGGTCGCACCACAAGAATCGCCTCGTGTGCGGCGGGCTTAAGTGTCAAGCACATACAAAAATGATAAAGCGTTTATTTTGAGCAATAATNTGCGACGTGGCTAAGCACCTGTATGAGCCAGAAGCAAAATAGATCGAGTGAAACAACAGGTGATGAAGAAAGAATAAGGAAAAGGCTTTGCGAGTTGTTCCTATTAGTGCTTGCTTGGACGGAAAAACTGTGTTATGCTTGGCTTGGCGGTGCGGCCAGCCCTCGGGAATACCCCTCTTCCGATGGAGCTTGTGACGAAGGATTCACTTCGCTGAAGGAAAAAATGTGTTTTTTGGAGGTTTGAGACGATGGACTTACCGAAAACACTCCCCTTTGTCTACAACTAATACCGGAATGACTTGGTTCTTGTAGCACCCACCAAAATAGCTCGTTTTGGTCTCATTGGTCTCATCAGAGACTGGGTATTTGTAGGAAAAGGCATCAACTGGAATTTCGAAGCATATTATTTTCTTCCCGACCGTGCCATGTCGCCTGAAAGACGTCTGCAAAACCGAAAGGCGTCTATAGTCGAGACGAGAGGGGTGATTTGAGTGACCTTGCATCGTCTAGACGCATGTCAATCTCCGTCTTTCACTTCATTGCGTAGAAGGTCCCCTTCGTAAACCCTCGGGGCAGTGCATTCACTGTTGAGGGATTCGAGTGCATGGCCTTCTTTGCCCTCTCACCTTCCCTCCGTCTCTTGTTCGTAGCTCGTGCGTCTTTCGAGGATTCTAATTTGATCTCTTCCTCCATTTTTCGAGTCCAGTTTCATATGGTGTTTGCATTTGGTTTCGTTGTATTGGTGGTGCAATACGTATAGCCGGTAAACCGGCGATAAGCCTGATATTCCCACGATAGGGTTATCAGTCAGAGTATTCGTAGCCGATATCGTCTTGAATCAATTGGTGCTTCTGCGCTTTCTCTAAATCTTAATTACCTCCTCAATTAAGATATTACCTTCGCATATTTCTATTTGGGGATTATAATGAAAAAATTTTTTTTTTAGTCTTCTCCATGGCCTTTTAATACTATCAATAGTAGAGTCACCAGAAGAAAGTAAAAGCTTTTTTCCCTAGGGGTGTGAAATATCAGATGGATTACATTTTTTTTTTAAGTACACGCACTATTTTCCCCACCGAGCTGGGGAAAATGATGATGTATTTTGGAGATGACAAACTCTACGGAAGTATATGGATCGAAACTTGTGCCCTTTCTGTTAGAATTAGATTACCTACAGATATGTTCTGACGAGCGAAATTTGTTGTCTTCCGATTGAATTCCTACCTCCCGGGAGCAGCAGAAAACGTGTGATATGGAGAACGAGGTCGAAATGCATCACATGCGGGACACATCAAATAGACGCACAGAATCAAATTAATGCATTTTCGGCGTGAAAAAATGTATTCTGTGTGATGCGTTCTAATCGCATCGAAAATTTGATGTCTTCGGGTACACATCAAATGGAGGACAGTTTTTTTTTTCACGCCCAAAATGCCCAACAATTTGATGTCCTGAATATTCTGTGCGTACGGCCATCCCGCAATAGAACACCACGGAAGTCTTGCATTATACCCATGGTAAATCCAACGCACGCCCTAAAACCAGCGATGAAGAATCGAGATCAATACGAAATTCAGCTTTTCTGCACATTGCGCTGCCCCAGGTAGCACAGATGGACCGATACAGGCTCAACGTTGGATTAAAATCCCGTGCTACCAGCGGCAGCGGTTTCAGCAGTTCTCCACAGGTGTCTCTCATTTCGCGCCCAAAAGCCTCTCTTTTATGGTTTCGCTTTTGGCGTAGCATTCTCTTCTGTGCAGTGTCATCGTGACGCAGCTGAGAAAGAAAAGTTCGTCGTTCCATTTCATAGAGCTTCCGAGCAAACCACGGATATGTCCTGTGTGTTCTCTTCCCTCTTCGACCCTTCTTTTCTATCCGCACCTTTCTTGCAGGGAAATCCACCTTCGTCAACTGAGACCGTGAGCTAAACAAGGATGGATCCGTAATAAGTATTTTTGGTGGAATGTCTATGGAGCGCTACTGAAACTGCGCGACGAGAGAAAAGCTAATTTCTAACTGAAGTTTGAGTGATTGTAGATTCTCATCCTGACGATCTAGGGACTTTAACCTTTCGGGAAAAAAGTTTTAAAATAACTTTTATTGTGGTATAAAGAATTAAAAACCTAGTACATCTGCATTCCATGGCATGAAAATGCCATTTAGAACGCGTTATTCTTGCTGCGCCACCCAGTATTCTTCAGTGCACTTCCCTCTTTAAAAAAATTTTAAGATTGGGTACTCTGTTGGAATGCAAAATGTTGAGCAGTCTATGTAGAATTTGATTGAGACTTTTCTGGAATATGAGCCTGGATGTTGAGGAGAAGAAGCCTGGTGAATACATTGCCTACTCCATAAAGCCCGCCGCACACGAGGCGATTTTTGTCGTGCGACCGTCGCTCCACACGATATTGCACTGTGTGCTGCGATGGTCGTGCGATGTAGGCAGACTCTAATTCTAGCATCGACCAATCACATCGCTTGCAGATTCCTCTGTGTGTGCTCCCCGGGGGCACATGACCGTCGCAGATGATGTCATGGCTGTTTTTAACGATGCACACGACCCAGAGCAGACGCTGCCAGCGTGGTGTTCTTAGCGGAGCACACGCCGCCCGAATTCACAGTTCGTGTATGTTTTTACTATTTCGCAAATAAAACTCGTTATTAGCTGTATATGTTGGTCTACACCTAGTGCACAAAATAGGATAATATTTAGACTCATGATGCCATGACGACGATTCAGGAAGATTAACGGATTTACTCCGATCTGTGCGATGCGGATCCGGTTGATATGACCTCGTGCTTGTTTTGCAGGTACAGTATCGGCCAAAAGAAGCAAGATGGGCGCTAGTGGCAGCAAAAGGGAATTATCCGAAGAAGAAATAGAATTTCTCCTGAAACAAACCAAGTACGACCGGGAAGCCATAAAGAAATGGCACGAGGCGTTCATCAAAGACTGCCCCGACGGCCGGCTCACGAGGAAAAAGTTCATGAAGGTCTACAGCATGTTCTGCCCCGGCAAGAACACGGAGGCGTTTCGGTCTCACCTCTTTCGTACTTTCGACGCGAACGGGGACGGGCACATCAGCTTCCGCGAATTTCTGCTGACTCTGGACATGACGTCGTCTGCGAAGCCGGAAGAGAAGCTGAAGTTGGCGTTCAAGATGTACGATGTGGATGGGAACGGGTACATCGAAATTCACGAGATGACGCACATATTGGACTCGATATACTCCATGATGGGAGTTCCGGCCTGGGTTCGAGGCGCGCCTCTGTGCGGCCCTCTCTCTCGGGTCTCTTAGAAGTCGTTCTACCTACACTTAGTCCTGCCCTTTCATTGCGTTCGCCTCAAGTAGTGCCCCACGTACCTCCTCAGTGAAATACGTCAACTGCTTAGCCATGAACTAAAAAAAAAAAGCTATTAAAGGGTCTCCTGAGAGTCTCAGAGTGCGATTATTCCAAGTGTCAGTTCTATTGTGGTTAATTGGATCAATCATGGAGACCGGTCCTGTTGCATTTAGATTGTTCCCATCCGGAGACGCGTCGAGTGGGGTTACAACCTCATCAATCCTCTGATTCGGGTTGACCCCTTCCCTCCAAGTACCACCCGCTCGATAAACTATTTCCTTCTCCACCATCTTGGACTCGTGTTTGTTCCAACTGTATCTTCCCCCCTTTCACTAGGGCTTGTCCCGGAGTGGCAGTTGTTGCAGTGTGCTTTATCGTCTTGAAATTTCTCGTCAGTGTTCTGTCCTTAAAATGTTCCTTTGAATTTCTTTATTTTTTACAGTGCATGGGAAGCAGATCTAGCTCAATATGGGTGGGTAAGCCCTTACTGTTCAAATTGTCTTTCAAAGAATTGAAGTCGAGAATGCCAGGAAAAGGATGCCGTGCAAAGTTAAGCAAATCAGAATTTATTATTATTATTTATTCATTATTCTATCTTCTTATCCAGTTTAGGG